TTGAGAAAGTTGCGCTCATTGTTGGCAATCGAATTTTTATATCGTTATTCTCATTATCGCGCGAACGTTTAAGCGGCTGTTCGCGAACGGAACCAGCCGACGTAGCAATTGTCGGCTATTTAATAAAAGCGCGCGTTGGAAGAAGAGAAGGAGGAGGAGAGGAGCGCGTGTTCGTCCCGTTTTTTTCTCTCCCTCTCCCTCTCTCTCTCTCTCTCTCTCTTTTTCCCTTTTTGCAAATGAGCCGAGCAATCGAGCTCGTTTCGTAATTCAACAATTCGTCCCCTTCCCCCTCTTTTTTTAAATCCTTTTTTCCCCGCCCCTTTTTTAATTTTTATTTTTATTCGGTATTAATCTTTCTTCCCTTCCTTTTTTGTTTCTTCTCCGATTTCCTTTTTTACTTCTTTTTTCCCCCCCCCTGTTTATAAACATTCCACGAATCTCTCCCTCGAAATAAAATTATTTCGATAAAATTGGAGGAAAAATTCTTCTCTTTCGAAAAAGAAATATTCGTTAATCGCATATTTTATTCTTCGAAATTCGTTTGGTATTCGATCGATCTGATGTATCATTTCCACGAACAGAAGGACGCGGTGGAAAGAAATTTCGATAATCCGTATATATACCGTGTTTGTATATTACGAGCGAGGGGAGGAAATCGACGTATCGAAGGAAGAAGGGAATCCTCTTATCGCGAGGAGGGGAATATCTTCGAAATCAGGAGAGCCGTGGAAGCGCGACAAAGAAAGCTTAAAGCTCCGATTTGTTGAGCTCGGGATTATTACGGGCCATCATCTTGCTTGCGCCAATGATCTTCGCGTCGAAAAATTGTATCGTCGATCCCTGTATCGCGATTTCGATTTGAAAGATCGTTCGAAGATTTCGATTTTTCTTAAAACGAAGATAAAGTGTGTGAATATCTTCATTCGATCGTAATGTTGTTGCATTATAACTTGACGTTGATAAATATAGAGAATCGATTAAACGTTTCTTAATTTGGCAATTAAGGGTTGAACTTTGCGATTCAGCAACGTTTCTTCGTACTTTCTCGAGTGTACGGATTATTAACTCTGCTGTTTCGAGTTGCCTTGTAAGTAAATAATATTCAGTTAAACGCGGGATACTTATGAACGAATTTATCCATCTGTCTCGAACTTTCGATCTTTCGTCTAATTTATTTTATTTTTGAAGGCAAGAAGAATCGAAATTTTTCAGAATCGTAACTCTGATCATCTATTTCATCATTGAACTCGTTGTGTCAACACGAGTTTCGTATCCTATCCATCCATATCCATAATAGTCTTGAAGAAAGTCCAAAAACACTGTCGAAAACAGTTTCTTTGGAAAGGAGAGAAACGGCAGAAAACGAGTGGGACAAGAAAGACCGACGAAACATCGGAGAACAAAGTGGGAGTAATTCAATTGCCCATCCGTGAATCGCAATTAACAGATTGCACGAGAATCCCGTGCAAACTCTCTCGTTTTGCTTTTGGGGGAATGGGGAGGAAAAAATATCTAGATTTCGCATAAAAGAAGAGAAGAAAAACTTTGCTGTACTAGTGGAATAGGTCGATAAAAAGAGACGCGTTTAACGGACGAGAGAGAACGAATGTGATAAAACAAGAATAAAAAAAAAAAAGAAGAAAACTATCCAAATTTCACAGAGTAGAAAAAGAAAAAAATTAACCTAAAACTCGTCAAGAAAGGGGTGAAATTATTGGATGGATGCCTGTTAGAACAGATCCAGGATCCTACTAGCAGAAACGAACGAGAAAGGGAATAGCGTGAGACGGGAGTGTGAAAAGGCGTGTGTGGCTGAACTGAGAGAGAGAGAGAGAGAGAGAAAGAGAGATCCAGAAAAAAAATGAAAAATATGTGAAACAAACCTAGCAGAAACGAACGAGAAAGGGAATAGCGTGAGAAGGGAGTGTGTGGCTGAGAGAGAGAGAAAGAGAGAGAGAAGGAAAGGAAAGGAAGAAAGGGTAGGTATAAGGGAGAAGCAAGTGTGCGCGAGCGAAGAATGAGAGAAGATGGAGGAGTGGAGAGATACGCGAGAGTGCGAGGATATAATGCGAGAGCTTCCATCGCGTTAGAGTGACGACGCCCCTTATCGTGACAAAAGCACCGTCATTGCGTCGGTTGCAGGTGTGGTTCAGTAATCGCAGGGCGAAGTGGCGTCGAGAGGAGAAATTACGGAACCAAAGGAGGGCAGCCGTCGATCAGGTAGTCGGCGGTGGCAGCAGCGGGGGTGGAAGCAGCACCGCGCCCCCTGCCGCGACCCCCGCCACGCCACGGTTACCCTTAAACGCCGGATTCAACGCCATGTACTCGTCGATACCGCAGCCGATCGCTACGATGCCCGACACTTACAGGTAATCATTTCTGTCATTCTCTCCCCCTCTCCCCCTTCCCTTTTGTTTCTTCTTCCCCACACTTTCCATCACGCGTGGTATATGTGTGTGTGTATGTGGTGAAGGGAAAGAGAAGGGGGAGAGAGAGAGAGAGAGAGATCTGAATTGGTTGAATGGAAGAAGAAGCTCTCTCTTTCTTTCTCTCTCTCTCTGAAGAACCGATGTGGAGGTTTCGAAATACGATATTTGTTGCGGGGCGGTGAAAGGATTAGTAACAAGTGGAAGCGATTTGGTGGAGAGTCGGGTTTGGAGAATTTAATTTCGAGATTGGGTGGGCGGGGGGAGGGAAATAATCGTAGGTGGTTAAGCGTTATAAGTTGATTTTGAAAGATTTTTTTTTTTATATAGTGATTTAATTTTTTGAGAATTGGAGGAAGTTTGATTCGTCTTGTGGAAATGGGAAAATAAATTTTTCACGGATTGTTTTTTTTGCGTTTTGCGTTTATATATGTCAAAATGGAGTGACAATGGTACAATGGTAACCGTGATCCATTGTTTAAAAAGATTTGGCGATCGAGCTGCGTTTTAACCGAGGTTGCATTGTTGCGGAGATTACAGGATAAGGGAGATATCAAAAGGTTCGAATTTAAATTTTCCAAACAATTTTTAAATACTTTGTACCTTTTTTTTTTTTCTTTTTTATATTTAATATTTTACGATTCATTGAAATTCGTATTGTGTGAATAAATGATTGGCCTCGTGTCAAAATTTAAAGAAATTGTATCTTTTGAAACTTTTCCTTCGTACGAAGATCTCGAAAAATTTATTAATGTCTTGCAAAACGAATAAAATTTAAAAATTATGAAATTATTACGAATTAAAAGTCACAATTTCATCAAATCGTTGCCACTTTTAAAAGAAATATTAATGCTCCTTTAATTTTCTTTAAATTTTCACGTATAAAATAATTAAAAAAAGGAAAAAAAACTAATAATTTTAATTCTTCAACCAATATTTATAATACTTATAATTATTCAACGATCAGGCAAACTGGATCATTTATGTTCTTCAAGCCTAAATTTGCAATTTCCTAAGGATTTCAAAAATATTTTTTTATCAATATTGCATTGTAAAATCAAGTTTTGAAAGAACTTAATATACCAAACGTAACATTTAAAAATTCCATTAATAAATCGAAATCGAAAAGCAAAAATTCTTTTAAAATAATATTATATTCTATTCGGAAAATCTGGAATCTATTCTAAATAAAAAATAATTCCAAATTTTTAATCAATAAGAAAATTCGATCGAAGATCCTTTCAAAATAATTATCGACAAAAAAATTTAGGATCTTTATCACTGTTCCAAGAATTTCCAAAAATCAAAACTATCAACACCCAGCCACTTAAATTCGAATTCAATCGAAGATCCTTTTAAAATAATTATCGACAAAAAAATTTGGAATTGTTATCACCTGCTCCAAGAATTTCCAAAAATCAAAACTATCAACACCCAGCCACTTAAATTCGAATTGAATTCAAAAATAATTATCGACAAAAAAATTTGGAATCGTTATCCTAATCGTTACTACTCCAAGAGTTACCAACTTAACAAAAGTTATCGAAACCATCGACATCTACTAATTTCGAATTTTTAAAAAAAGCTCGATTCGATTTCGATCGAGACAAAGAACAATTCCAAATTTTCTGGCCACCGATAATTCGAAAGCAAAGATCGGTACTCGTTAACTACGTTAACGCATTTTCTCATCCTCCAATGTCTCCACCTTACTCGGTACGTTGGCAGCTCGATGTCGAGCAGCTTGGGCGGGTCAATGGGTGGAAGCTGTCTTCAGCAGCGCGCCGAGGGATATCCGGCGTACGTGTTCCACGAGCCCCTTCACTCGCTGACGCAGTCTTACTCCCACGCACACAGCACTGCTGCGCATTCGCAACCCCATCGCGGTATACCGACCTCTCATGGTGGAACCCCCACCACGCCAGGAGGACAGCCTGCAGGACCAGGTGGTGCGCCCTACCAACCAACGACCTCGACCGCCACTGGTGAGTTTCCGCTTTAAAGGATTGTTTGTTTGTTGTTCTTGTTCAATCTTCAAGGCCGTCTACTTCTCCCCTTCTCCTCTCCTCCTCTTCTCCCTCCCCTTAAGCTTAAGCGTTTAACGCTGATCAAGGTCGGGGTGTAACGCAAGAAGGAGGTGAGGATGCCACTTCTCCAGGTATCTTGGACGAAAACCTTTTTCTCTCTAGGTTGTATCTCTCTCGAGGCGATGATGAGGGCAGAAGTGAAAGTGGATCGAGTGGATTGGGAAAGGTGGTTCTCTTAACGGTACTTTGACCGGCGTGGGAACTTGGAATTTTTTTTTTTTTTTTTGGTAAAG